TGATCTCATCTCACTGCAACCTTCACCTCCTGAGGTTCAAGCGATTCTATGATCCCAGCTACTTTTTTTTTTTATTTGAGACAGAGTCTGGGTCTTTTACCAGGCACCAGAGTGGAGTGCAGTGGCAGGATCTCGGCTCACTGCAGCCTCCGCCCCCTGGCTTTAAGCAATTCTGCCTCAGCCTCCCGCCAGCTACTCTTGACTCAGCCACTTGGGTAGCTGGGATCATAGGTGCATGCCACCATGCCTGGCTCATTTTTGGATTTTTAGTACATATAGACAGGGTTTCACCATGTTGGTCAGGCTGGTCTCTAACTTTTTTTTTTGAGGTAGGGTCTTGAGTAGTTCGGACTACAGGTGCTATGATCATGCCACTACACCCCAGTTCAGCCTGGGCAACAGACAACCGACAGTGGGAAAGCCTACTTTCTTGTGACAATTTGAGTTCATATCAGTCCAGACTCAAAAAAGGTAGATAATCGGGGCCAGTAAAAATCTTTAAAGCTTAGGTTTGAAGATTTAAGTTTTAAGCCCAGGCTGGGTGTAGTAGCGCAATCTCAGCTCACTGCAACCTCTGCCTCCTGGGTTCAAGAGATTCTCCTGCCTCAGCCTTCTGAGTAGCTGGGATTACAGGCACCCGCTACCACACCCAGCTAAGTTTTGTATTTTTTGTAGATGGGATTTCACTGCATTGTCTAGGCTGGTCTCCAAGTCCTGACCTCAAGCAATCTGCCCACCACCGCCTTCCAGAGTGCTGGGATTACAGGCCTGAGCCACCGTGCCCAGACTTCCTTGCTGTTTCTTCTACTGGCTTTGCTTTGCTCTTCGCTGTCTCAGGCCCTTTGCATGTGCCATTTCCTCTTGGCAATGCATTTCCTTCTCTTTACCTAGTTACATCTACTTTTCACATTTCAGCACAGTCATCATTTCCTGAAGGAAGTCTTCTTTTTTTAAACCAAAGTATTTAGAGATGGGGTCTTGCTATGTCACTCAGGCTGGATTACAGTGGCTATTCATAGCCACAATCATAGTACTTTCCAGATTCAACCTCCTGGCCTCAAGAGATCCTCCTGCCTCAAGACTCCCAACTAGCTGAAATAGCTAAGGAAACATTTGACTTTCCCAATCAGGCCAAATTTCTCTATAATAGTCTCTGTTAGCTACTTTGCAGCATTATGACGATTGCAATTTTTTTTTTTTTTTTTTTTTGAGACGGAGTTTCGCTCTTGTTACGCAGGCTGGAGTGCAATGGCGCGATCTCGGCTCACTACAACCTCTGCCTCCTGGGTTCAAATAATTCTCCTGCCTCAGCCTCCCAAGTAGCTGGGATTACAGATATCTGACACCATGCCCAGCTAATTTTCTGTACTTTTTTTTTTAATTGAGACGGAGTTTCGCTCGTTACCCAGGCTGGAGTGCAATGGCCCGATCTCAGCTCATTGCAACCTCCGCCTCCTGGGTTCAGGCAATTCTCCTGCCTCAGCCTCCTGAGTAGCTGGGATTACAGGCACGCACCACCATGCCCAGCTAATTTTTTGTATTTTTAGTAGAGACAGGGTTTCACCATGTTGACCAGGATGGTCTCAATCTCTTGACCTCATGATCCACCTGCCTCGGCCTCCCAAAGTACTGGGATTACAGGCGTGAGCCACTGCGCCCGGCCAATTTTTTGTATTTTTAGTTGAGACAGGGTTTCATCATGTTGGGCAGGCTGGTTTTGAATTTCCGACCTCATGATCTGCCCACCTCAGCCTCCCAAGGTGCTGAGATTACAGGCGTGAGCACTGCACCAAGCCAATTGTCTTGTCTTTCAAAGATGCTTTATGTACATGCAAACAAATCATATATAGTCAGTCTTTCACATTATGTGGGTTCTGTATTAGCAGATTTAACCAGCCTTGAATTACAAATATTAAAAAAAATTAATAAACATTTACATTGCATTCTGTATTAAAAGTCATCTAGAGACGATTTAAAGTATACAGGAGGGCTGGGTATAGTGGCTCATTTGTAATCCCAGCACTTTGGGAGGTTGTGGAATGCAGATAGTTTGAGCTGAGGAGTTTGAGACCAGCCTGGGCAATATGGTAAAACCCTGTGCCTACAAAAAAAATACAAAAATTAGCTGGGTGTGGTGGTAAGCATCTGTAGTCCCAGCTACTCAGGAGGCTGAGGTGGGAGAATTACCTGAGCCTGGAGGCAGAGAAACTGAGGCTGTGGCAAGCTATGATTGTACCACTGCACTCCAGCCTGGGTGACAGAATGAGACCCTGTCTCAAAAGAAAAAAAAAGTATACAGGAGGATACACAGGTTATAACACAGGTTATATCCTAATACTATCCCCTTTTATATAAGGAACTTCAGCATCCTTAGATTTTGGTATCTGCTGGGGGACCCTGGAACCCATCTCCCCACAGATGAGGGATGACCGTGTTGTGCGCGCGTGTGTGTATCACACACACTCAATAGAGGTGCCTCATTCTTTTGAGCTTTTTTTTAAAAAAAGTTTACCTTTTTAAGACGAAATCTTACTCTGTGCCCAGGCTAAAGAGCAGTGACATGATATTTTGGCTCACGGCGACCTTCACATCCCAGGTTCAAGCAATTCTCCTGCCTCAGTCTCCCAAGTAGCTGGAACTACTGGTGCATGTCACCATTCCTGGCTAATTAAAAAAATTTTTAGTCTGGGCGCAGTGGCTCACACTTGTAATCCCAGCACTTTGAGAGGCCAAAGCAGGTGGATCACGAGGTCAGGAGATTGAGACCATCCTGGCAAACATGGTGAAACGCCGTCTTTACTAAAAATACAAAAAAATAAGCTGGGCAGGGTGGCGAATACCTGTAGTCCCAGCTACTCAGGAGGCTGAGGCAGGACAATTGCTTCAATCCATGAGGTAGAGATTGCAGTGAGCCGAGATGATGCCACTGCACCACAGCCTGGATGGCAGTATGAGACTGTCTCAAAAAAAAAAAAAATTTTTTTTTTTTTTTAGATAGAGTCTTGCTCTGTCACCCAAGCTGCCAGGCTAGAGTGCAGTGGCATGATCATGGCTCACTGCAACCTTGACCTCCCAGGCAAAAGTGATCCTCCCACCTCAGTCTCCCGAGTAGCTCAGACTACAGACACACCCCATCATTTCTGGCTAATTAAAAAAATATATATATTTTTTGTAGAGATTTCTCACTACATTTCCCAGGCTGGTCTTGAACTACTGGGCTCAAGTGATCCTCCTACTCTGGCCTCACAAAGTGCTGGGATTATGGGCATGAGCCACTTTGCCTGCCAACAATCTTGTATGTAACATTTGCTTATATATATGTCGTGATATATATTTCCTGAAACATCATTTTTCACTTTGGTTCAAGGTGAAGAGATTATGCACAGATGGCAGCAAGGATCTGGTTTGGATGCTCAGCAAGCACCTTCAAAGGTGGTAGTATCTATGTCAGTTCTCACTTTCAGAATCTAATACTCATCTAGTCTTGCTGTGCAACCAGAGCCAGAAGCCAACTGGAAACTGAATTGTGCTAACCAAGCTCTGAAGTCACTGCTGCATTAACTACAATGCCTTAGTTCTCTTTACTGCATTTTTCCACATTTCTTTCTCCTTTCATAACATACAGACTTGTGGCTGGACATGGTGGCTCATGTAATCCCAGCACCTTGGGAGGCCAAGGCAGGTGGATCACCTGGAGTTTGAGACCAGCCTGGTCAACATGGTGAAACCCCGTTTCTGATGAAAAAAACAGAATACAAAAATTAGCGGGGCATGGTGGTAGGCACCTGTAATCCCAGCTACTTGGGAGGTTGAGGCAGGAGAATTGCTTGCACCTGGGAGGCAGAGGTTGCAGTGAGTCAAGACTGTGCTACTGCAATTCAGCTTTGGCAACAAGAGCAAAACTTCCTCTCAAAACAAAAAAAAACCATATAGACTTGTAACTGATTGCTTGTTGTCATCTGCACAAGGCCATAAGCTAGTGATTTCAGTGGACAAGACAGATGAGGTCCTTGTTTTTATGAAAAAAAAAATTTTTTTTTTTTTGAGATGAAGTCTGGCTTTGTAGCCCAGGCCCGGAGTGCAGTGCAACCTCCACTTCCCGGATTCAAGCGATTCTCCTGCCTCAGCCACCAGAGAAGTTGGGGCTGCAGGTGAGCGCCACCATGCCCAGCTAATTTTTGTATTTTCAGTAGAGACAGGGTTTCACCATGTTGACCAGGGTGGTCTGGATCTCTTGACCTCAGGTGATCTGCCTCCCTCGGCCTCCCAAAGTGCTGGATTACAGGCATGAATCACTGAACCCTCCTATTTGTATTTTGAGCAGAGATAGAGTTTGGCCACGTTGGCCAGGCTGGTCTCCAACTTCTGACCTCAACTGATCCACCAACCTCAGGCTCCCAAAGTGCTGGGATTACAGGCGTGAGCCACCGTACCCAGCTAGAGAATATATATATATATATTTTTTCCCCTGAGAGGGAGTTTCGCTCTCGTTGCCCAGGCTGGAGTGCAATGGCATGATCTCGGCTCACTGCAACCTCTGCCTCCTGGGTTCAAGCGTTTCTTCTGCTTGGGCCTCCAAGTAGCTGGGATTACAGGCACCCGCCACCATGCCAGGCCTGATATTTTTCATTATTTTTGTCTTTACAGGTTTCTTTCTGTTTGTCAGAGGATTAAATGAAATAATGTGATTAGTAAAGCGAATAGTCAGCACTTAAAATATTTGTTAATGTACACACAGATATATAATACGTATTTATATATATATATATATACACCAAAGTTTCCCATTCTTTCTATGACTGCTTTTCCCCCCCCTTTCCCCCCATACTTTGTCTCTTGAAAAGTTCACACTGTAACCTCCAACTTTTCCAGGTACTTGGTTTGCTTTCAGCACGAAGCTTGTGGGATGCGCAGCCAGTAGGGGGCAGGAATCACCCAGGCGTGCTTATTACCCAAGCAACGGAGTCAAACAGCACTTTCAGAATGACTTTACAAAAGGGTTACCAACAAGGTAATATGTTTATTGGGTTAGGTCGCTTAATAATAACTAAAAGATGAAAACGAGGAAGTGAGCAGTAGGGACAGCCTTACTCTTCAGCGTTCATTAATTGGGAGCTCCGGTGTGCTTGGCTTGCGGGTGAGCATGTAGACAGGCGGGGGATGGCCGAGCTCACAAGCCTCAGGCTCAGATCCTGGCAGTGGACGAGCCGAGGGCTCCAGATTACTAGCGGTTTCACTGCCAATAAAGTGCTTTGGGCAAGCCTAACAAGCAATGAATATGTAAACATTTTGTTTCTAGGACTAACTAGATGATGACGAGATTTTCCAAGTGACAAAAACGCCGGTGGCTAACTTCCTGGGCCTCAGCTCCCCACCCTAACAGGTTCTGAAAATAGCTCCAGGCCCTTCCTAGCGGGAGTTTGAAAGCAGGCGCGGTGCGCATGCGCGCGGCCCACCGGGCGACCTCCCGGTGGCCCCGGCACGCGGACCTTCTTCCCGACAGCCCGCGGGGGAAACAAGGGCGGGGAAACGGAATTACCGCGAGCTCTCCTTGAGCCGGCGGAAACAGTAATCACGTGACTCTCCTAGGCGGCCATCGCTTTCCCCCTCCCCCTTCTCGGAAACCCGGCCCCCTCACCCCTCGCCCACCCCAGAGCCGCGGTAATGGACCGTTTGGGTTCCGGAATTCTCTTGGATCCAACAACTGGTACCGGGCCTAGGAAAGCCGGCGGAGTCCGTTTTTGGCGAAGGCTGGGGGGTGGTCAAGATGGGAGAGAAATCATCTTCCTTCACCTAGGAGGGAGGCAGGGCGGAGACGGGCACCGAGGAGCGGGTGGGGAGGAGGAAAGAAGTCACGTGAGGGCGCGGCGCGCGCTGCGTGTGCGCGGCGCCTCGTCCGTCGCCCCTCCCCCAGCCCCTCCCGGCGGGGAAGGGGGGCTGGGGGAGGGGCGTCAAGATGGCGGCGGGGAGGTAGGCAGAGCTGGACGCCGCTGCTGCCGCCGCCGCCGCCACCGCCGCCTCCGCTCCAGTCGCCTCTGGTCCTTCAAACTCGCACCTCCCGGGAGGAGCTGTCTTGGCGCCGGGTTCCGCGGGGAAAGTAAGTCCTTCCGTTGGCCCTTTTCTCCTTCCACACTCCCCCCTCCCGGACAGCCTCCCACTCCCACCCTCCTAGGGGGGCCGTGTGGGGCCAGGCTTGGGGGGGGCAGCCACCTAGCCCCGGCTTGGGGCCTCCCTTCCTGCTCTGTCCCCCGCGGCCTCGCGCTCCCGGGCCCTCGGGGGCATGGTACCGGCGGCGGCGTCGCCGCTGCACCCGCTTCCTCCGCCCGTCAGAGCCGGGCCCTGCTGTCGTCGCTCGTGGGGCTTTTGGGCTCCTGGAGCCTCGCTGTCCCGGGCCGGAGGCACCCCCTCTTGGACCGCGGGGCAGAGTCCGTGCTCGTTGGGTTCGCCCCGTTGGCTTTTGCCTCACAACCCGGGGCTGCGGGTCCCGGACCCGCGGGGAAAGTATGGTCTGGATCCTTCCCAAGTCCTCTCTCCTGCCCCAGCTTTGCTCCTGGGTGTGGGCGAGGGAGGGAGGCAAGCAACTGGGTCGTCCTTCCTAAATCTGAATCCCATATCGGCAGTTCCGTGCACGCCCCACTCTTGAGGCGGTGGGGAGTCCGCGGGGCGCGGGGGACACGTGCAGGCTTCCTTCACGCCTCTCCGGGCGACTCGCGTAGTTCTGCCTCGGCGTCACCTCCCAGACCCTAAGGAAACACACGGAGGGGAATGGCAGTTAGAGATGTGCTTACTTTGAGGGCGTCTGGCGTAACGAGCATCCAGAGTTGCCCACAGCAGTGTATGCTGGTGGTTTCCCAGAAGTGGTTTGGGGTCGGTTTAACCGCTGAGGAGATTTGGTTGTTCCTAAACCCTTGTGATTGTTTCTTTCTTGACCCTGGCATCCAGCTCCTCCCCTTCCCACCCCTGCTTTGTGCTTCTGTTTGGTTAATGTTTGCGGACCACTAACTTGATCCTCGCACAGAGAAGCTCTTTTTATATGCGTGCTCGGTTTACTGTGGGAGGCTTTTGTTTTGGGGAGTCGCTGATTGAGAAACGTGGGAAAAGAACGGGCGAGAAAATGAGAGACAAATAAAGCAACGTTTTTATCCTTTGAATTGCGCAGCCAATTGTAAGTGCACCCGGAAGTTTGTACTGAACACGTGTTAAGGGAAGGTTAAAAACTGGTCCCCTCTGACCTTTGAAAGTTGGTTATTAGCATTTTGTGTTAGGTATTTCATATTCTCCAGACAAGCAGAATTAGGTAGAGAGTATGGCTTCTGAAGAGTCAGCCAGGAGGTTCCAGAGAGCTGTCAAACCCGGAGGTGCCCTAGCAAGAACTGACTTAGCACTTGCTGGTAAGTCTATGAGCTGACAGTACAGAGGGATTCTATTTTCCATTATATTTTCTAGCAATCATAATTCATTTTCATAAGCCTGGGGAAAGCTATCATGGTTGCACAAGAGATAGCAGAATTTCCTACTATCTGGTGATTTTAGTAGGACATTAATTTTGCAAGCAAAGGAACATTTTCTCTCATCTTTTAAAGAAGTTGTTTCCAAAATTTTTCGGATGGGAGACGACTTTGCTTTTTTCTTCTGGCTTCTGCTTTTTATTTTCCATTCCAACTATATTTCATATAATTGCCTTTAGAATATTTATGTTATTTTTTAATTTTTGAGACAGGGACCCGCTCCGTTGCTCAAGCTGGAGTGCAGTCAACGTGATCATAGCTCACTGCAGCTTGAACTCCTGGGCTCAAGCGATCCTCCCACTTTGGCCTCCGGAGTAGCTGGGACTACAGGTGTGTACCACTACAGTGGCTAATTTTTTGACTTTTTTTGTAGAGAGACTGGGGTCTCACCATGTTGCCAGGCAGGTACTGGCCTTAAGTGATCCTCTGGCCTCCGCCCCCCAAAGTGCTGGGATTACAGGCATGAGCCACTATACCTGGCCCCATCAAAATCTTTTTTATTTTATTATTTTTATTTTTTTGAGACGGACTCTCCATTGCCCAGGCTCCGTTGCCCAGTGCAGTGGCACAAACTCGGCTCACTGCAACCTCTTCCCCCTGGGTTCAAGCAATTCTCCTGCCTCAGTCTCCTTAGTAGCTGGGATTACAGGTGTGCACCACCACACTCAGCTCATTTTTTAATATATTTGGTGGACACAGGGTTTCACCATGTTGGCCAGAGTGGTCTCACTGCTTACCTCAAGTGATCTGCTCACCTCGGTTTCCCAAAGTGCTGGGATTACAAGTGAAGCCACCATGCCCAGCCCCGCCTTCAGAATCTTAAATAAAACTTCACTTTAGTTGCTGAAGGGGGAGAGACTGAGTTAGTGGCCTGCTGTTCATTCATTCATTCATTCATTGAATGCTATTATATATCAGGCAATTTTGTATGTTTTAAATGCCCTGCTCAAAATACTATTTAGGGGCAGCATGCAGATTCATTTTATGGTTTAAAGAGTGGTTTGCCTTCACCAGGTGAGGTGGCTCAAGCCTGTAATCCAGCACTTTGGGCCACGAGGCGCGTGGATCACTATGTCAGGAGTTCCAGACCATCCTGGCTAACAAGGTGAGACCTCTCGTCTCTACTAAAAATAGAAAAAATTAGCTGGATGTGGTGGCATGTACCTGTAATCTCAGTTACTTGGGAGGCTGAGGCAGGAGAATCACTTGAACCCAGGAGGTGGAGGTTGCAGTGAGTTGAGATGGTGCCACTGCACTCCAGCCGAGGCGACAGAGTGAGACTCCATCTCAAACAAAACAAAACAAAAGTGGTTTGTCTCAAGGAGTTTAGCTATAGATATGTTTGGGCATTTCTTAGCATCTATTTTTTGTTTTTTATTTTTATTTAATTTCTTAACATCTAAATTGAGCTTACATTTGTTACTGGCCACCTGTGAAGATGGAGAACACTCAAGTCTGGTCTTACTGAGTAACCTCACTTTCGCTCTGGCTCTGTGAGTTCACATGCTTTGCCTGTCAAAACCTGTCGTAAAGATACTTTTTGGTCTTTTTTGAGATGGTGTTTTGCTCTTGTTGCCCAGACTGGAGTGCAGTGGTTCGATCTTGGCTCACTGCAAGCTTCCTCTCCCAGGTTCAAGAGTTTCTCCTTCCTCAGCCTCCTGAGTAGCTGGGATTACAGGTGCCCGGCACCACGCCCAGCTAATTTTTTTGTATTTTTAGTAGAGGAGTTTCACTATGTTGGCTAGGCTGGTCTGGAACTCCTGACCTCACGTGATCCCCCTGCCTCCGACTCCCAAAGTGCTAGGATTACAGGCGTAAGCCACCATGCCTGTCCAAAGATAATTTTTAAGAGGAATTAACTTTTTCGTTGAATACCAGTTAATAGCTGTCTAAAGTTTTTGCAGTTCTTTTTGTTTTTGTATGCTAATTGACAGATCCAGTTTACTGTGGCTTGAATTCATGAAGTATTAAGACAGTCTTAGGAATACCACTGAAATTTCATTAAAAGAAAATTAAGATACAGGTCGGGTGCAGTGGCTCACACAGTAATCCCAGTACTTGGGGAGGATGAGGCAGGCAGATAATGAGGTCTGGAGATCGAGACCATCCTGGCTAACAGGGTAAAACCCTGTCTCTCTAAAAATATAACAACAGCAAAAAAATTAGCCGGGCATGGTGGCATGAGCCTGTAGTTCAAGATTGTTGGGAGGCTGAGGCAGGAGAATTGCTTCAACCCGGGAGGTAGAGGTTACAGTGAGCTAGGATTGTGCCACTGCACTCCAGCCTGGATGACAGAGCCAGACTCTGTCTCAAAAAAAAAAAGTATGAAACCCATCAAATGAACTTGCTTCTTTGTATCTTGGGAGGTAATATATAGATTAGAGCCATGGTTTTCTTTTTTTCTTGTTTTTTTTTTTTTTAGACAGAGTCTTGCTCTGGTGCCAGGTTGGAGTGCAGTGGCATGGGTTCACTGCAGCCTCCACCTCCCTGGTTCATGTTATTCTCCTGCCTCAGCCTCCCAAGTAGCTGAGATTACAGGCACTCACCACCATGCCTGTCTAATTTTTGTCTTTTAGTAGAGACAGATTTTCAGCTTCTTGGCCAGGCTGGTCTTAAACTCCTCACCTCGTGATCCACCCGCCTCAGCCGCCTCCCAAAGTGCTTGGATTACAGCTGTGAGCCGCCTTGCCTGGCCAATTTCCTGTTTTATACACACACACACACTCTCTCTTTCTCTCTCTCTCTCTATATATATATATACACACACACACATACATATATAAATATATGTACACATAATACATATACATATATAAACAAAAAATATATATACACACATATACGTATATGTGTGTATATATATTTTTTGTTTTTTTATTTGAGAAGGAGTCTCGATCTGTTGCCCAGGCTAGAGGGCAGGGGTGCAATCTTGGCTCACTGCAACCTCCTGGACCCAGGAAGCTCCAATTCAGCTTCCTGGGTTCAAGCGATCCTTTTACCTCAGCCTCCTTAGTAACTGGGATTGGATTACAGGTATGTGCCACCATGCTCAGCTAATTTTTTTTTTTTTTTTTTTTTTGAGATGGAGTCTCGCTCTGTCACCCAGGCTAGAGTGCAGTGGCATGATCTTGGCTCACTGCAACCTTTGCCTCCCAGGTTCAAGTGATTCTCCTGCCTCAGCCTCCTGAGTAGCTGGGACTACAGGCGTGTGCCACCTGCTAATTTTTTGTACTTTTAGTAGAGATAGGGTTTTATCATGTTAGCCAGGATTGTCTCCATCTCCTGACCTTGTGATCCGCCCATCTCGGCCTCCCAAAGTGCTGAGATTACAGGCTTGAGCCACTGTGCCCTGCCCAGCTAATTTTTTTGTATATTTAGTAGAGATGGGGTTTCACCATGTTGGCCAGGCTGGTCTTGAACTCCTGGCCTCAAGTGATCTCATCTTGGCCTCCCCAAGTACTGGGATTACAGGCGTGAGCCACTGCACTGGACCTATACCGAAATATTTTAAAATGCTGATACACTAAATTGATTTGACAGCCTGCTAATGTGTTGTGATCGGTAGTTTGGAAAGTAGGTTTGGAAAGGGTTGAGAGTACAGGATCTTGAAGGGGCGTGGCATCAGACTTCCTGAATTTGTAATTCTGCTCCAAGCCTGCTTTGTTGTTACACTGTTGTATTTTATCTTTCTAAGCCTCAGTTTCTTAACTGTGACAAAGGGAATATGGGTAGCATTTGGTAATCATGGGTTATCTTTTTTTTTTTTTTTTTTTTTTTTTTTTTTTGAGACGGAGTTTCGCTCTTGTTACCCAGGCTGGAGTGCAATGGCGCAATCTTGGCTCACTGCAACCTCCACCTCCTGGTCCTGGGTTCAGGCAATTCTCCTGCCTCAGCCTCCTGAG